TTTTTTTTTTTTTTTTTTTTTTTTTTTTAAATAATAAGAAAATAACGTCTGTACCCATCTAATCTTGACTTAATTATTATTTATTAAACTTAAACCCAATAATTAACAAACACACTAATCCATCCCTTTTTAGAAGAAGAACAAAAAGGAAGACATGATTTGTAAATAATTATCTCTAATTAATTACTCATTACTGAATTAGAACACAAACCCATTGAGTCAAGTTGTAGATTAATAAGAAGAAGAACACAATTTGGTTGGTTAAGCTAAGCAAATTAAGCAATTACCATAAAATTGCTTTAATTAAACCCATAAACCAAAAAAACAAAAAGAAAAAAAAAAAAAGAAAAAGGTAGCTTGGGATGTGGTGCAAAGGAGAAGCTTTTGATGTCAGAGGGAGGTGCTTTTCCCTTCGCTTTTTTTTTTTAATTTTTTAGGGCTTTCTTTAGGTTAGGGTTTAGGGTTTACAGGCCAAACAAAGTCCACGACAATACGGCGCCGTATTAAAAGACTGCCTTATTTTCGTAGACTTCTACACTCGTTGACTTCTCTTTCTCAAAAGTCAATCCTCCACGCGCCGTCCTCCTCACGGCTTCGATACGGAGGCGGCATCCTTAACGGAGCCGTTCCCCATGCTCGTCGACTGCACCGTCAGCACTGACATGCTTGGCGACGTCGGCCCTTCTCCATTCGTCCCCATCACCGGATGCTGACCACCGCCGTTCATCATCGGATTCCTAGTGTGACAAGTGGATGTCGAAATCGCCGTCGCCAGAGAGATCGGCATAAGACACAACCCTTTCCCCTGCAGATACTGCATCGCCGATCCCATATCCTTCTCCATCAGCTTCGCCACCTGCTGCTCCGTCACCGTCATGCTATCATTCGACGACGCCGTTTGGTTTCCACCACCCCCGCCATTGTTCGAATTCCGACCACCACCTTGGGCCCCACTCCCTTGCATACACTCACCACCTCCCTGAAACGACAGCGTTTTCACTAATTACCAAATTATTAATATTATTATTATTATTCTCATTTAAACAAAAACGACAACCAAACCAAAAGCTGCTAAAAAGGCTTCGCACGCGTGCCCTTTTCCTTTTGTCGTCTTCTGTTAAAGGAATTCTGAGCCGCCTCATCAACTTAACTTAATCCCCAAATTTCCTCCTTTTTCTTAATTAAAAAAACCCATTAATCTTCAATAATATTTTTTAATTTACAAAACTAACCTCAGATGACACGTCAGCAACGAGAGGAGCCACAGCTGCTGCACCTCCCAACCTGCTCATGCTCAGAACCTACACCAAATAAAATAATAAAAATTAAAATAATAATCCCATTCAGGGAATCTTTTTTTAAAGATTAATTAATATTTAATAATTAGAATAAATAATTAATTAAATAAATTAAGATATAGAATTAGGGCCATACCTTGACTTGGAGCTGGAGGAATTTAACGTAGTCGATGATCTCATCCAGCATTGAAGCCTTATCTGTCTGAAATTCCAAACCCTTTTCAGATTCATTTAATTTAATTTAATTTAATTTAATTTAATTTTCCAATTAATTAGCTCTTAATCCCCTTTTTCCTCTTCCTTATTTATTAATATTCCCATTTAGTACCAATAAATATTCCAATTTCCAGGTCTGGTATTTCCAAGTACATTATTAATATTTTAAATAAACAGGCGTTGCTAATATTTACATGCTCGTCATTCTTTTAAGTAACTGCCATGTTATACTAACGACACGTGTTCCTGAAATTCCGTGAGATTAGTTTTCACCGGATGGTTAATGACTATAATACCCTGACAGGTTGGTTAAATTACGGAGCAGGTGCAAAACTGACCGGCGGTTACAGTCTTGCAGAGAGCTCGAGCTCTCCAATGGCGGACTCCATTTTTTTTTTAATAAATGAATTAAATAAATAAAAGAAGATGAAAGGACGAAACTGACCTTGTTTGCGTTGGGAACGAGTTCTTGCAGTGCTTTCATTCTCTCTGCAATTCTCTCTCTTCGAAGCTATACGAACCAGACAAAATTTATATTATCAAATTCCCAGAAATCTTAATCGAAACCCTAATTTTGTTTCTGTTTGGTTCCCGAGAAAACGGAAGAAAATCGAACGGAAAATTTTAGTTACCCTTTCGGCGATACTGTGTGGGTCTGTGGCTTGGCCTCTGCGAGCTCTGACTTTCTGCTTCGGCTGAGATGGAGAAACTCCGACTGAACCACCGGCCGGAGTTTGACTCATCCCGTTCCCTGGAGCTCCGAAGCTATGCGATTGAATGGAACCTCCCTGAGAAAATAAAAACCCAAAAAATCAGAATAAAAAAATTGAAATCCACCGGCGAGGAATTGACAGATCCATTACGGAACAAACCGAGTTCGGTGTGCGGAAGCAGGATCCCTCGACGACGTCGTTTTGGGAGCGGTCTAAGTCGGCATTTCCGAGGGAGAGAGGCATAGGTGGGAGACCATGGTCAGCGACGCCATTTCCAGCGGAGACGGAGATTCCTCTGTTCAAGAGAAGCTGTTGCTGGAGCATGACGGCGGCCTTGGCAGCCGGAGATGTAGCAGTGATGTGGCTCTGGTGGTGGTCGTCGGAGATATCTCTTGACGGCTTATTGATGGGGTTAAGGTCCCAAGGGGATTTAGGGTTTGAAGGGTTGAGGTCGGGCCAGGAACAGGAGGGGATTGTGTTGAGCATTTGCTCGAGGAAGTCGTCGTGGGAGGCGGCAGCGGCGGGATCAAAATGGTGGAGCTGAGACGCCGGGATCTGCGGCGGTGGGGGATTCAAATGGTGGGGAGCGTCGGCGTGGAGGTCCTGGAGAGAGATTTGGGAGTGGTTTAAGAGAGAGTTGAAGGTTTGCATTTCTCTGCTACAGGGCTGCATAGTCGCCGGCGGTGAGGGTTTGGAGGGTGGAGATGGGCGGAGAGAGAGGAAGCAGGCGGCGGAGAGAATGGAATATTGGATTTGTTTTGAAAAATGCTTTTTATCTTCCTTCTTCTTCTTTGTTTCTCTGTGTATTTGGTTGAGAGTTTGTTTTTTGTGTGTTTCGTATTAAATAGCAAAAGGTGGAGCTTCCTTCTGTCACACCACCTTTGGTTTTTCACCCTAATTTCTATTTTTTTTTTCAAATAAATAAATAAATATATATGTATAGATGTATATACATATCTATGTATGTATATGTATATGTATATGTATGTATACATATATATGTATATATACATATACATATATACATTTGTATATATATAGAGAGAGAGAGGTCAGAGAAGAAGACGAAACATTTATTAAAAAGATGTGAAAACTTCTATGAAGCAGACACGTTCCAAACTCTGAGGTTGATGGTTGTACATAATAGGTCAAAATATACAATATCAGTTAACTACGGAGAGCTATTACAAATGGTATTAAAGCCAGACACGAATATCAAATTATAAATGTAGCTTTAGTGACGTAACTAACTAATAATCTTAATTTTATTTATTTTGGTGCAAATTATTAGTCAAACACATGAATTAAGTTGAACAGTTATTTTCATTGGTGTTATCAAATCACGGTAGCAATTTAAAAGAATTGGAAGCTCGAAATGATGGACTGGAGGAACTAATCTATTTAGTACGACCATGTAGAGGGATTTTTTCTACGATCGTACTACTCTCGGGTCAGGTCACCGTGACCCTCTTTGTGAGGAGGTACTCTTCTTACTCGGTGCACCTTCCATCCTTGATAACATAAATATTATACATCTGCGTATATGGTTTCTTTATTTTAAAGAAATAATAATAATAATAACTAATTTTTAGGTTTAAAACAAAAATATTTAAAAAAAAAATTAAATACAGACGTGTTTGTTAGGTGAGACGGCCTTTTTTTAACAATAAAATCTATAAAAATTCTCTTACTATTTCAGAATTCAATGGAAAAAAAAAAAGTAAGTCCACGCGCCAATACTCGCGTGGCCTCTACCTGCAGCGATGATTCATCAAGCGGTCGAGTTTCACCAGCCGTTTAAAAATATTCCGGTTTTTCCTCCAAGTAGACCGGATAAACCACGTCACCCTTAAAAACCGCAAAATGCCACGTGGAGGATCGTTATTGCTTATGATTAACAATGTTATTTGAGGAGATTAGTCATAATTACAACTGTACCAAGACAATGATTGTTTTCGTTTTAGTTTTCATTTATTTATTTCCCAATTAAATTTGCAAGAAAAAATATTCAGCCACGTGGAAGTCAAACAAAGCGAGTACACTTCTTACCTGCGAGTAGACATTGGAAATTCAAATTAACACCCCCATGATCCAAGGCTGTAATTCAGTCACCACGACGACAATTCTATTTTCCCCCCTTAATTTTGACTAAATATTCGTTGGGTTAGTTGAAAAAATAAACTGTTTTTTTAATTATAATTAAATTAATTAATTATTAAAGAAACAAATAAATATTTAATGTTCATATATTTAGGATATTATTATATAAAGAAAATAAATATTAGATTAAGAAATATTCGGGAAGATTTGGGATCACGAAGGTAGCTTCCAATTGGCAGTCCCATTTAAAAAAAAATTGCATTTTTAATTTTCTAAATACTTAATTTATTTTAATTTAAAAAATATATATTCCAAAAGCCTATAATATAATATAATATAATATTATATTATATATATATATATTCTCTCACATTTAAAAAATAAAAATTAAGATACATGGTCTTAATCTATAGTTATAATGTTTCTCGTTCATTGAATTAAAGAATACATGTATATTTTATAGGGGACGAAAAAATTATTTATTTTATTTTTAAAATTTAAATTGCACCGAGAGTAATTTTAACTTTAAATTTTAAAAATTATTAAATAATTTTTTTATGAGTGATATTAAAATTGATTTTGTTTGTTATTGGTAATGGATATAATGTTATTTAATTTATTAGAAGATTTAAAAAATAAATAATTTTGTGGGATTTAATGTTGTCGTTGTCATGTTGTTTAAGAAATTGAGTCACTTAGGAACCAAATTCATGATTTGAAGTAACGTGTTGGTCTGTAACTAAGATGGGTTACAAACATAATATTCTCATAATATGGGGTGGAAAAAAAAAGATTTTTGGGATTTGAAATTGATTTTTGAAAAATCTGTTTATTTCCACTTGTCATCCATTCATTGGTCGGTATTTCTCTTTACATCTAAAATCTCCATCTTATAAATTATCGAAATTTGAGGATTAAAAATTTAAAGTAAAATAATAAAAACAAAATATGACTCAGACATAAACGTAACAACAACCTAGACACACAGCTAGCAGATATTGTCCTGTTTGGGCTTGTCCGAACGTGTCTTTTAAAGTTACACAGCGAAACCGGTGCTCATCCAGATACGGTAGGATATCACAATACGAGAAAATAAAAGATTATGCATATTTATATGACCCAATAACCTTACAAATTCAGACAATCGAACCCAAACCATAAAGATTAGGTTGGGTTAGATTTTTGTCGGTTTTGGTTTGGTCGAATTTTTGTAAAACCAAAAACTTTGTATGATTTACAGATTGACATCGGTCGAATCTCTACTTTTAAATAACCCAACAACCTAACATTTCTCGAGAGTCTTGATTTATTAAGTTAGGTACAAATATTAGTTAGAAGTTCTAAAATAGACTGACTCTCGAATTTAGGTTTATAAATTAAAGTGTAACCCATTAAAGTAAACATGAATAGATAGGATATATTAAGAAGCAATATATTCTATCTTATCCAAATATATAACCAATTCCAATATTACAAGGCTTTCCTCAAAATATTCCATACAACCATATAATATATGGTGGAAGATTTATATAATCAACCTCATTTGAAAACTAATTATATATATATTCACTTAAATCTTTGACAATCAAATTGTTTGAAAAAAGTCAACGGAACAGCTGTCAAAGATGTGAGCATAAATAAGTAAAGTAAGAGCCCCTAAAAAAAGAAATAATCCAAATGGGGACCAAATTGCAAATTTGAGATTAATTGAATATTCTGCCTAAAATTTTAAAGAGTCAACTCTAGGTTGCTTTAATTAGTATAAATCCAATGTTTTGTCATTAGCTTCTTTTAAGACCGTCATGCATGAATATGATTGGAGAATTTATTTTATGTATTTTTTAAACCATATCATTAATAATAATAATAATAACGACAATAAATTAGGATTATTAAACTAAATTTAATGTGTTTTCTACGAAGCTTCCCAATAGCTATTTATTTGGAAAAGAATAATAGAGAGTATTAATTATGTTATAATTTAAATTATTATTTGTTATAGTAAAATAAATAGAGTATAAGTATATATATATATATATATTTATACGAAAAATATTTAAATAACATTTTATTGAGAAAATTAAATATTAACGTGGTTTAAATGGCTCGACATTATTGTATTTTTTCAAGGTTAATAAAATGGGATCGATTTCTCCGACTTTTTATATTATAACATGAATTTAATATCTATTAAAATATACATATATATGTCTTGGCAGTTTGTTTTTTCTTTTATTTATTTATTTTTATTAATATATAATGATCATTATTTTAAGACAAAAAAGGTATTTTAAAAAAAGAAAAGAGGGAAATCATGAAGACTATAACATTGGGTCCAAAAAGGAATATGCCCATGAAAATGGGCCTGGGCCTGAAACTGGCCCAGGAATGAAAGTTGAAACGGGAGCCCAGCCCAAGAGTAAATAGATACCCATGATGGCCCAAGCCCAAACAAAATAGGCAGCCGGACAAGTAATGTAGTATTTAAAAGGGGATTAATAAGAATGTTGGCGCACATAATAAAGAACGTATAAATAGGATTGGCCGCAGTTTTAAAGAGAGGAATCAAATGGTTTCCAGATTGGGTTAGGAAGAGAAAAACATTTGTGGTTCGAGTTGTATAATCGTCGTTGTTCTGTTGGTGATCGAAACCCTAGGTAAGGAATTTTCTCAAGGATCATCGTTGTTTCCAAATCGTGATTGCGAAACCCTAGCTTTGGAATCTTGTTGTCGTTTTCGATTCTCGAAACCCTAACTAATGCATCCGTTGAAGCAACACTGTTTTCAGTTCTTTGTTTGCTCTCCCGAGCTACAAATTCAATCCGAAATCGTAAACCTAGCACGAAATTCGGTCCAAACCCTTGAGGACCTTAAGTCTTCTCTTGTTCCCGAAACGATTGTGTCATCTTTCTACTTCACCCTGAATGGGAAACCCCTTCTTGATTCCACCACGATTCCCTGTTCTCTGATTCCCCCTCTGTCCACGTTAATTTTGAGAACCAGGGTCCTTGGGGGCGGTGGCGATGGCGGGGCAACAGGGGCCGAATCTCGTGATTGCTACCTTAATATGTACGCAGAAAAGAAGCCCGATAAGGTTGATCCTAACGAGCAGAGGCTGTCCAAGTGGTTGAATTGCGCTCTTTCTAATGAGCCTTTGAGGGAACCTTGTGTGATCGATTGGCTTGGGAATATTTTCAATAAGGAGTCGCTTGTGCAGGCTTTGCTAGAGAAGAAGCTACCAAAGGGATTTGGGCATATCAAGGGTCTGAAGGATATGATCAAGATTAATCTTTCGGTGATTCCCGGTACAGAATCGAGTCGCAATGCGATTTCAGGATCGCGGTTCCAATGCCCGATTACTGGCCTCGAGTTCAATGGCAAGTATAAGTTTTTTGCTCTGAGAACTTGTGGACATGTGCTGAGTGCAAAGGCCTTGAAGGAGGTTAAATCCTCTTCCTGCCTTGTTTGTCATGCTGAGTTTTTGGACAGAGACAAGTTCGTGATCAATGGGAGTGAGGAGGAGGTAGCAGAAATGAGGGAGAGGATGGAGGAAGAGAAATCGAAATCGAAACCAAAGGAGAAGAAGACGAAGAAAGTGAGGAATGGGGAAGTGGGTATGGATGGAGATGCAACTGTGGAATTGGCAGCATCGTGTTTGTCTGGTAAAAAGCACGGTATTGAAGTTAAGGCTTTGGAGAAGGTTTCTGCTAAGCCCGACAGGCA